TGAGTTACTGTTGTTTTTTTATCAGCTGGAACCAGTCTGGCCATTCTCCTCTGACCTCTGGCATCAACAAGGCATTTTCGCCCACAGAACTGCCGCTCACTGGAAATTTTCTCCTTTTCTGGCCGTTATCTATAAATCTTGAAGATGGTTGTGTGTGAAAATCCCAGTAGATCAGCAGTTTCTGAAATACTCAGACCAGCCCGAACATGGCATGGCACCAACAACCATGCCACATTTAATGTCACTTAAAACACCTTTCTTCCCCATTCCCCACCAGTTTGAACTTCGGCAGATCGTCTTGAGTATGTCTAAATACCTCAATGCATAGAGTTGCTGCCATGTGATTGGCTGAATAGATATTTGTGTGTATGTATATATGTAATTTTTTTTAAGTAATATTTGTAAATAAATAAAATCATACTGTGATTTAAGACTTTGGTCTTACCGCCCAACTTTAATGCCAGAAAGAGCGTTATCACGGTAGTAAAGGCTACAAAGTGCATGCAAAGTATATGGAGATGGGGAAAAGAAGACAAGTGAGGAAAATGAATAAGCTTATGGTGTGAAACAGGAATGAGTTAAAGTGAGAAAACAATGAAGTGGCTGTTTGGGTATGTCGAGGTTTAAAGATGGAGAAATAGGGCAGTTAGGAATAGGATGAAAAGAAACACGAGGGAGGTATTGCAAGAACGGGAATTTAACATGCATGCATGTGAAGGATGAGGAAGGAGAGAATAATGTGGAGAGAGAGACGGCCAGAGAGGAAATGATGTTAGTTTGTTTGGAGGTTGCTGAGTCATGAGTGGGCCGGATGATCACTGATAGAACGAACACCCGGGGGCCAGCACAGGGGGCGGGACTACGTCACACGTCACACGGCTCTGAAGCACGGGCCATGGTGTAAACACGACATATGCACTCGCATCGATGACTTTCCAGGCTGGTTAGGTGCTAGTCTGATGCTGGTTAACCAAGAAAGTCTTGCTGGTTGTAGAAATGGTTCACCCTATAAACATTATTGCATGACTTTCCAAACCCTCTATGACTGACTTTCTTCTGTGCAATACAAAAGTGGCATTTTCATAAGATGAAAGAAAACCATACAGGTTTGCAGTGGCAAGAGGGTGAATGATGCCAAAATCGTCTTAAGAAAAAAGGTTTTTCCATTACACTTCCCCGTGTCTGGCGTTTTTAAATGCAGAAATGTGTTTTGTGTGAACAGCCCCGCTCATTTGCACTGAATAATCTTGTCTTATGGTTTGCATATGGAAAATAACCAAATGAACTGTAATTTTCATTTGTAAAATATTGAATTCGATGGATTATCATAAGAAATTGGCTTTGCCTCGTGGTTATTTAATAGATAAAACAATTTGGGTTTGATTTCAATCAAAAATATCCAATGGACCCTTTTCATAGACTGTGATGATACTTTTCCACAGTTATTTCCATTGTCAACACTATCCTTTGTTATATTACATTGACATTAATTGACAGACAAGAAGTTAATGCTGCTGTTTGAGTGTTTCTACAGTTCTCTCTCTTCTGACCGACACAATCAGTCCCTCTATATATTTTTTTCTGCCTTTTGTAAAGTCGCATAAAAATGCTAATATTGTGGATTTTTTTCTTTTGCGGTTGTAAATGAAATAAAAACATACAGTGATTTAAAACTTTGTCCACGATACCAGAATTTGCATTTTTGAGCAAACCATTTCTTTAAGCAAATTAGGAAGCTTTGAGTGCAAACCACCAAAACCAGGCAGCAACACATCTTAAAGACGTTTGTGACCAGCTTTGACCTCGTCTTTTTTAGAAAGGACTTTGCACACCAAAGAAAACAGCTATACGTGTGATGGGTGTTCCTCTCCCTGTGTAGGTTAATGCTTCCTGTCACCCAATAAAAGAGCAGAGTGCATGATGCCGTCTAAAGAATGCCCCCCTTCTCTTTTTGTCCTCCTTTAGTGTGCGAGTGTTGTGGTTTTTCTGATCTGTTGCTTTCTTCATGTATTAAACCTTCATTTTGTCATGCTTCAGGGCTTCCAACGGAACTTCAAGAACAGCCCTTTACTTCTCACGCAGAGTTAAACGTTCACAGGCGTCCGAGAGGGCTGTGCGCTCGTGAATGAGGATGTGGGGAAGAGAATGGGGAGATTGGCTCCAGTTGTGTCGCAACGCGTCTGGTGCAGCGCAGCACCCATGTGCAGATTTTTTTTTTTAGCCTCAAAAGAAAAATTCCCCAGCTGCAAATGGCGACTGTGATCCGATTCCGAAGGTGGTTTGCACCACGTGTTGAGGGACTGCGCACATTCACGAGCAAATTCCACATCGAAAACCGCGGGCCCATCAGTGACTGGTATCAGATGCTTCTGACACTTTCAACTTCCTCAGTCTTCCTCTTCACATCAACAATGTCCTCACAGATATTTCTGTGTTTGACCCGTTGCGCGTTGTAAAGTGGCATGAGCGATATTAGTCACTCTCTTCCTGTACTGGAGAGTTGAATGAGGGAGTGAGTAAAAGCGAAGAATCTGTTTTGTACCAGCTGAGTTCAGAAGACTGCGTCAGCCATGCAGTGATGAGGTAAACTGATACACTTCGTTAGCGTTCATAGAAAGCTTGATTCATTGAACAGTTTCGGTACAGAGATTGCTCAATCAGAAGATGCGCAGCGTAAAGAAAGAGATAAATTGTTCACGCACACTAGAATATCAAAACCTTATATAATATGGTATTAAAACACAATCTCACAAGACACGTGTTCACCTAGTAATGGAAGTAGTGGCAGATCTTCCGTATTGTAACTTGGTTCAATTTATTGGTTGTTGGTTGAATGGAGGCAGATATTAATGCCTGTGAGTCAGTGTGAATTTTGTAGCCTCAGTTTCCTGTTCTAAGCTGACAGGAGTGTCACCGGTGTGTCTTCTGCTGCTGTAGGCCGTCTGCATCAGGGTTCAAACCATTCAGAGATGCTCTTCTGCAGATCTCAGTTGTAACAAGTGGTTATTTGAGTTAATGTTGCCTTTTTATCAGCTGGAACCAGTCTGGCCATTCTCCTCTGACATCAACAAGGCATTTTCGCCCACAGAACTGCCGCTCACTGGATATTTCCTCTTTTTCTGGACATTATCTGTAGACCCTAGAGATGGTTGTGTTTGATAATCCCTGTAGATCAGCAGTTTCTGAAATACTCAAACCAGCCTGTCTGGCACCACGTTCAATGTCACTTAAATCACCTTTCTTTCCCATTCTGATGCTCAGTTTGAACTTCAGCAGCTCGTAAATGCCTAAATGCATTGAGTTGCTGCCATGTGTTTGGCTGAATAGATATTTGAATTAGCAAGCAGTTGAACATGTATACCAGACTTGCAGTCGATTGTAAGAAAGGGGTGCCATGCATCACCAGAGAGAAGTCTGTCATTTTCACCGAAAGATTGACTTATGATATCAAATTGACCCTTCGCAGGGAGTTTGATTGACATGTGATCTGACCAATCATACTTCGCCATCCGCCATTTTGTCCGACAAAGCAGTCAGGAGAGTTAGTAGATTAACATGGGAGGATTTGAATTTGAAAAACGGAGTGTACTGATGCCTTTCTGCGGTTAAAACTACATTCCTTCTTATGTTCATTCATGTTTATTTGATGCTATAAATGAACTAGAAGGAAGAGATGGTCGGATCACGAGCAGCTTTAACTGATGCTCTACAGCGATCTGTCACGACCGGTCACGACACATTAAAGAGCCACAAAACGGTATTTATTGTTTAAATTTCTTTTTTTTTTAAACGACCAAATTTGAAAGGTGAGACAATATGTTTAAAATCAAAAGTAACCGAAAAGTAACCTGGTCTGTCCTGCCTGTCAGCGTGTTGTCAGTCCGCGTCCGCAATGTACTTTTCACTGCGTGAGAACATGGTGTGTGTGTGAGAGTAGCGTAGCTTGTCGGACATAGCGACAGTAACTAAGGGGGGCGGGTCTTTGCGAACGTCAAAGGTCAAAATAAATAAATAATTAAAATGAAACATGCATGGATGGATCATCCACAATAAGATCAATAAAATGCATTTTTGAAAAAGATTAGGATTTCATGCCGACTTTGAGCGATCACACTGACACGTATAGGCTATAAAATCACTGTCAAAACTCTCATTAGTAGTCCGTACATGTTGTTGCTGCTTATTTGAATAAAGTTGCACTCTGCTCAACTTTGTTGAATTGTGTTTAACCATCTTTGATGCTTGAGTCAGTAGAGATCAGCAGTTCTTATTAGGCATGTTAATATGTTCACTGTTTTTTTTTCCGAACTTGAGATCGTAAACATTTGCATATTTGTTTACGTGTGCATTACATCTGTTCTGAGCGAAATTGCAGCCGTAAGCACAGTGCCCAGTCGCCACATTTAAAAAAAACCACAAAAAAAACCCCCGAACAAGATTGTCACCAGAGCTACTGTGAGGATAAATAAACATGCACATTTGCTAGACGTAATATGTATATAAACATGCACAACACATTTGAGACGAGGCTAAAATGTTCCTGTTAAATAAATTATTTAAGATCTTCACCACCTCTCAATTGATTCGAAATTTCATTTTAAATTTGAGCTCATTTGAATTGTTTGAGGCATTTACATAAAGACTCTTCAGTCCAATTTAGCCATCAGTCCAATTATAAATGGATTATTAATTTGCATTTAAATGTAGCTTATGAAAATGAATCATGTTGGTTGCCTTGTTACTGCAAGTTACTTTCCATATTAATTTGCAGCAGCATAGAGTCTGGTAACCTTAGCTTACATGTACTGAAGTAGCTTCACAAAATAAAGCGTGTACTTGATATTTTTCATTATGCAGTAAGTGTTTGAAAAAAGCAACTTGATGCGGTGTGTTATATTGCAATTCCACTCATACTCAATTCTCTTTAGCAATCACAGTATAGAACGGACTTTATTGTGCATGGATGCAATTTTGTGATGTTGTTAATCTGTTTTTCGCAGTGATTTCCTGCTGTGCTGGTTACTGCAATGAATGGTAACACTGTCCAGCAGACCACAAGCACTGCACTATCCGTAGCCCCCCCCTGTGGATGGAGGGAGTTCTGCGAGTTGCATGCCAGCACCACGGCCCGAGAACTTGCCCAGCACTACCGGCGCTTTATCAAAGAGCGGCCGGTACAGGATGTGGTCCCGCCGGAAAATTTCTCCAAGCAATTCAGCGCACTGTTCCAGCACCACTTCAGCTGTGAGGTGGCTAAAGATGCAGAAACCCCCCTGCGGCCACCACCATTACTACCCATGACCAGCCGCTTACGCATCACTTCCTTCTCAGGGGTGCTGGATTACCGGGAGACCGCGCGGCCAGGAGCGTCTCCGCTAGTCGCCGCGTTTGCGCCCAAACCAGATGCCGTTGGCATCCCTAGGGAACAGGAGCAGTTGCAGCGCTGCTCTCCTACAGACACTACACGCAGAACGCGGCCACACAGCCAGGAAGATGAACACCCGGAGCGGAGGACCGCGTCAGAAAGATACGCGCACCCTGCGTTTCCCTTCCCTTCCCGTAGTGAGGTAACACACATTTCCGTCAGACGCATCCGAGAAAGCGTATCCCAACTCTTTAAGAAATCTACGCAACTTGATGAATCTTCAAGTGGTTACCCTAGGGACGATTCACTCCAGGTGGGCGGACCATCTGCGACTGTTGAAAGCACCTCTCAAACCCCACCTCAGACTGTGCAGGTAACCGCCCATCGCACCTCAAAGAAGGTTGCACTGTGGGAACGTTGGAATCCATTGCGAACTGTGAGACGGCGGCAAGAGACAGGAAGTGTTTGTAAAGAGGGGCAGCTGCGGTACCTGGAGGTGGATGACACTATCTCAGACACACCCCCGCATTGGCTGCGCTGCCGCCTGCAGGTCAGGAGGACCAATGACCACACAGCTAGCGAGAGGTACCAGCTAGAGCTCTACGACCCACCCAAGGTAAGGCGACCGGTCGAAAACCGAATGCATTTTTCAAGAGTGACTACTCTCATGTGTTAATTTTTTTTCCCCTAATTTGTTAATTGTATCTCTCAGAGTTTGTAGTTGTTTCTGACTTACTGTAACTTGATATATTGGTCAGATCTTTTAGATTAGATCAGTATCAGTTGAAGAAATGTTAAGGTATATTTCATGGAAATTTGAAAAATTGTCATCATTTACTTACCTTTACAGTATGTTGCTCAAAACGCGTGAATTTCTTCCATGAACAAAAAATTTGTTGTTTAGCAGAATCTCATTTGCATTCATGTATCTTCCAATATGGCACATCAGAATGTGTTGTACAAAGTTTGATGTCAACCTGATGTGACTTACCTTGAAGCGTTAAATATATGCAAACGTAAATGAGATTTAAGAGCAAAGTCGTGCTTTAGTTAATAAAAATGTAAATTTCATTCACGTATATTTAAATATGACATATCATGATGTGTTGCACGAAGGTTGATGCCAATGACAAATCGCACAAGAACTAATAGCATTGGTAAATTTTGCCATGAATTCTGGTGTGATTTGGCTTGATGCGTTATATTTAAATATATTTGAAAGACGTGTCATGTTTTAGTTAATAAAAATGTCAATTTTATCCACAGATAGTTAAATATGGCACATCAAGATGTGTTGCACCAGTTTTGTCGTCAATGACACATGCGTTATGTTTAAAATACATGCAAATGAGAGCTATGTCGTGTTTTAGTTACCGTAATAAAAATTATAATTTGATTCACCTGAATGCAAATATGATGCATTAAGATGTGTTGCACCACGTTTGATGTCAATGAAACATGAGAACCAATTGGATTTGATGTCAAACATGGTTTGAATGATCTTGAGGCCTTACATTTTCATAATCGCGAATGCAAATGAGATTTAAGAGCTGTATGGCGGAGGGGAGGAATTTCAGTAAATAACAACTTAAGTTTAGAAAAGTTTCAAACTTGCAGTCCTTACATTCTGCAAGATTTATCCTGCTCCATGGAAGAAAGAAATTCAGATGGGTTTGAAAGTGTGTAAATTATGCATGAAATGGCGTATGTATGACACGCCAATTCGTATTTTCATTTTTGGCGTGCTATCAACACGCATAATCGCTTTTCAGCGTGTTTATCAACGCCTTTGACTTAACGTTAAATTACTGTATTATGTATATATAAATATATGACCTACCCCAACCCCGTCCCTAAACCTACCCGTCACTGGGGTTAATACCATTTATGAGTCTTCTCCTACCATCCTAGGAAAAGAAATATCGCTCCACAGATGTAGATATAGATTTTGCTTCGTTTCGCTCGGACATTTAACGGCGTACACATACACGCGGAATCACTCGGACATTTAATGGCGTAGACATACACGCAAAAGATTTCGGCGTGGACATACACGCGGATACCTCAAAATGCGTATAGATAACACGCCACTTGAATTGAAAGTGGTGTGTATGTTTACGCAAAGTCATGATGTCATGTTGCAGAATGCATTTTTTATCAAAACCAATGATTGGCGTGATTCACCTAGTAACTGATCTGTTCACAGTAACACTCATATAACCTTATTATCCACCCACATGCAAGACAAACAGCCAATTTGGAACGAAGTATGATTGATGCTATCAAATGTAATGAAACTAATAAGGACACAATTACTGTGTTGTCTGCATTTCTCTCCGCCTCGCTCCATTTCTCGGGCTGACACAGCATGATAGCCTAATTGGTAGTTTTGTCAGTTCATTCAGACAGCAAATGACGTCTGCTCACTCGAGGGGTTACGGTACGGCTATATCAAGGCACTGATTGGCTGCTGAGGAATCTTGGCAGAGATGCGAGAACTTGCTCTGAATGTCTATATAAGGGAACGGCAACGTAGACCAAGAAAGTTCAAACACTTAAAGTTGATAGACTCCAATAAATGTCAGAAGCATGCACACACATTTTAGCTTCAAATTAGCAACGCATTCATTGGTTCTTTTTGTTGTTGTTGACATTTTATTAGATTCATAATTTTAAAAGGAGAGAAATGGAAATTAATTTTCTGAGCATGCATGCATGCATCACACTTTATTTCACAGTGTCTTATGCACTGTATTGGTGTGTGAGCGTCGAGGCTGCATCATACGAGTCCGTGCCTTGATTCTGTAATTGTGCGCTCTATGTTTGGTGTGTTCACTACAATAGCAGCAGCGAGGGCAGCTATGCTAAGAGAGGAAGCTGCAGGGTGGCTGATAATTTCTTTGCGTGAGAAACTTTGTTTCAGGGAAGTCCTAACTTTAAAACCAGCCTGTGCACAGCAGATAAATGAGTTTGATTATCTGCTTTCAGATTTCACAGAAGTGTTTTATTATTATCAAGTTAAAAATGACTAGATAGGCCAGAGACAAAAGTGTTAGAATATATTTATAGACATTAGATATATGTTTACTTGTGCATCCAGGGCTCAACATCAAGGTTTTCCAGGTACAGTTTTTCAGCAATTCATCTCAAGTGCATGACATTTTAAAACCATGACCCACTAAAGTTGCTAAATGATTCATAATTGCTGGATCTTCATGAAGTAGGCTGAGTTCATTTTTAGCCTAAACAGATGACTAGTTATGTGTTTCTAGGTAAAAATTATCTATCTATCTAGATCGTTTCAATTCAATTTCAGCAAGTGAAGGACAAATTTATACTCGCGTGCGTTAGGCTATTACTGTAGGTACATTATTGTCTCAGACAGACAGTAGTTTGAAGCTGCTCAGGCCACCATTTTCTCTCTCTTCTCTGAAAGCAAGCGATGATGTAGTCAAAATATCCGGTAGTGTGGGTTTTACGTGAACTCGCTGGACCTACCGTAAATACGAGTGTTGTGCATTATTTTTTGACAGACATCGATGTTGTGATGTTCAAACGATGTGGATTTGAAAACAGATGGATCGTACGGTATTAATTATTTATTTATTAGCCGGCAAGTATTCAATGAAGTGATTGATGCCCATGAGTGTGTGTTATGTCTATTTTTAGTAATATTATAATATTTTAGCAATATTTTACAAATATATAATTTGTAATATTACAAACAACAGCCAGTCTAGGTTTTTGACATGAGGTGTCAACTATGTTTGATTTTTGGGTTATTATAAAATGTGCTGGAGACATTCGAAATGCTCATTATACTTATTTTACGGATTTTGTGACTTAAATAAATTTCATGTTACTCAGAGACTGACATGTTTGGCTTGTCAAAATTTTTAATTTGTTAATTAAATTTTTTTTTTTTTTACCAGGAGTGGTTTTCATGCACAACGTTGTCTGTCTCTTATAACAAAAATATTTAAACCCATGAAAATGCAGATCATGTTGAAAATAATAGTGAAAAAAAAAAAAAAACTTTTTAAAACTATTGTTCCATAACTCCATTATTACACCTTATTACCCCCAGATTTAGACTCATATGTGTGTAGAAAAACTGGATGGTTGGTTTCTTGCTTGTTTATGTGTATGTGATGTTGTTTGGAAGGTTTGAGAAACATCTGTTTTGGGCTTCAAATGATAGTGTTCATTAAACAGGGCTTCTAGGGCTAGAGACCACAGACCTTAAATTGCTGATGTAGTCTGAACAAGTTTGGTCAAGCTGTGCTTTGAAACCTTAAATCGGATAGAAGACATACACAGATACACACATATATGGACACCAGAATAGCCAGCAGTTTGTAGTGCCCTTGAGCCAATAGAGTATGGATTGAATAAGACCTAGTGTTTGTGTTGTATGTTGACGTCTTCTGATGTGGTTTGTTGGTGTGTGAGCAAGCGAGAAGGAAGACATGCCATAATAAAGTTAGAGTTCCGATTTTGCTATTATGTTTATGTGTTGGAGGTGTAATCATGTCTTGTTTTTCTAGTATTATTTGCTGTACAGCAATCATATCCAGTGCTGTGGAAAATATTTCTAATTCTAGAAAACCGCATCCTCCCATCTGGAGTGTGTTAGAGCTTCACGGTGACCTTATGCTCATGCAGATGCTCACACAACTACATCCAGAGTCGTTTTAACTCTTTAACAAGCCACTGACAACTGAATCCGATCAACAACACAATATTCAATGTAACAGTCTGCACTGACACACAACCTAAAAACAAAATGCGTAAGATATATGATAGTTTATGCTTGCATTTTTTTGGGGTCTTTGTAAAGTGAAATCAAGATGGACATTTTTTTCAGCGGTCTTGGTTCTTGATGTATTTTCCCTTATTTATTTTTTCCATAAAAAAAATAAAAAAATAAATAAAAAAAACTTTGATATGAGATGAATCGCAACATTTGTGAACTATTGTTTTAAGCAAAACAGCAAAAATATAATTTTCTATGGAGAACGTGAATGGGATTTTTACCTGTTGGGTTTTGGTCACGACACGTGCCCTCGTTTGTTTTGCATTTGCTTTTTAAAGAAACGGTCTGAAACTTGACTGAAACCCAGCCTGACTCAAAAGTTTAGTTTCTTAACGTGATCGAGCAGCTCTGACCTCGTACCCGGTTTTATCAATATGAGAATCTGCTGATTGATAAGTAGGCCACAGTCATCAGTCATAACGAAATCAGACATGTCCCAGACAATTCTCCGAAAGCATAACACTTGACAAGTGTTATATCAAGAATTATATCACACACACAGATGCATTCTTAAAGATGTACTCGCACACACACACAGTTGCAGACCGCGCACTGGTTCACATGATGTCAACAGCATTTTTTATTTCGAACAGAAGTGCAAGTAATCATTTTCTATTTGTCCATTTTTTAATAATTGGCATGACTAATTTAATTCGAGATGAATTTAAATGAAAAATGTATCACTCTTTTTTTTATTCGTCATTTTTTCAAATTGTAGTTTAATGTCACATATGTTCTATTTTAGCGTTTCTCAGCTGGTCTTGGTAATCATTTTGTATATTTTTGGGCCTGCATAGTTC